TGATATTCAGCAACGAAATGAGTTCTGGTATGATGAAAGTGAGAAATGTTTTCTGTTGAAGTGTAGCTGTAAACGAGATTGTAAACGTGGCATTATTTTAAATTCGCACAGTACTGTAAGACAGTGTTGCGATTAATACAACGTTTGTAATATGTTCAGTTGAACTGAATTCCTAAACAATGAATGGTAATAAACACATGGTCTGATGATAGCATAAGGCAAGATTAATCGACGATATGGAAGACATTTTTGCTGAGGGAAAAATAACATTGAACATCCGACTGATTGCATTAGCATTCCCAAAGCCTTCTTCATCTCCTTCGCCATCGATCTCCTTCTTCATTCGCATTCAATACTTAATTCTATTATGCTCACCATCATTATCAACATATTCGGATCACTGCATCCCTTGCATCAAACCAATCCGATTCGATCACTTTCATCCCTCCTTATATTCAAATTTTATCATGCTCAACCAACTCAATCCGTTGACTTCCTCTATAAGTCAATAATCTTCGCACATAACCTCTTTCGTTCACTCACCAACATTTTATTCATCCAAATCGCAAATCCTTTTGCTTGTATTAACATTCATTCATACACTCACTCGGTCGTCTTTCCCAGGGCTCTTTACTCACAGCAGCGTTCATTATCAATCATTCGATCAAACTCCTATTGGCTCGATTACTCGTCGTCTGTCAAAGAGTGAGTTGTTGCGCCGTCCACTTCATCTGCTCATAATATTGTCGTCGTTGGCTTTATATGACGTTATTTCAGTCGTCAGTGTTGTTGGAGTAATATAGAAATTAGCATCTATTCAACAACATCAATAGAATTTATTGAAATAACGTTTTCTATTCGTCTGCATTCGTTAATTTTAACATTATTATTGCCATCACTGTTAGTACTCACAATACTGTGGATATAACCATCACTGATACTGATCATCGTGTCATGGAAAACGCTACCGAATTCGCCGAAATTGGACGCACACATTTCCGTTAGTATTTCTCTAATGTGTAAAAAACCTGCGATATTTCAGACGATATATAGGAGAGGAATCAATTTGGGTGCCCCGAGCCAAATTTACAGATGTATAACTGAGAAGCACTATCCTTAATGTGGTAATTATGCTGTATTGAGCAGTTGTGGAGAGTTTAAACGTAATTATTCAGTTTGATAAGTCAGCGGATCGTTTGAGCGAATAGAAACTAATGAATATCAATGATTAGTTTCACTGATATTTAATTGCATAGCAAATGGATTGAGATCAAGCACAGACTGGATTTGTGAAAATCAGGTGCACTGGAGTTTGAATTGCGTCCGAATGAGATGGATATAAAACGAATGAGTAAAACTGCATGTGAACGATT